GATCATGGCTAGCAAATACTGGTTTTAGGCCTTGTCCCTTGCACACAGAGATTTCTTTGGATTCTTTGAATCTGTTAATGATATTGTGCGCTGTAGATGGTGAAATCCCCAGGTTCTTTGCTAATTTACGTTGAGAATGTAAGATTATTGTTGAATTGCTGTACTATTTACCCACACAGCCTTTCACAGAGTGGTGAACCCCTCCCCATCTGAAAGAAGAGATGCTCTTTTTATACCCAATAATGTTACTGACCCGTTGCCAATTAACCTATAAATATATCGCTGTTGTCGGAACAAAACCTACTGTCTCCAAAATGATAATTTTACAGGAGAAGACAAAATCTTCTTTACTTTTAATGTAACTCAATGGAACCAGCATTTTTTCAGTCATTTTGTGCTGTTTATATATATATATATATATATATATATATATATATATATATATATATATATATACAACAACATTAACGACAACAACAGCATCACAAACTTTTAACGAAGGGAGGAAGGCGTGCAGCAGTTTTGCATTCCACACCCTTACATTTACATATGGAGGTGCACACACACACACCCACACACACACACACACACACAAACACACACAGTCAATGCTTTTAGCCCATGAGCTGCCTAAAACTTCAAATAGAACAAGTATCAGCTTTTAGCGTAAAAGCTTTTGCCGCTTTACTGTCAAACTCTACATCACTTTTCTTTATAATACCGACACTGCAGTCTCTCTTATAATGTAGCTCTGAAGTTCATTTCTCTAAGACAGTAAAAAGCCTGCCTAAAAAATGAGATGCTTCATATTTAATGCACACCAGATCACCATTCCCAATGCCGAGTGTCAGCTCGAGGGGTAGACAGCCCCCAGCACTGGACTGGAGAGCAGAAGAACTGCTTTCACTGGAGTCTCCATCCAATACCTTTGGGATAAGTTGGAATGCTGTTCGTGATCCAGAACTAATCATCAACTAACTGATGCTCTCGGTACTCAAATCTGTATGCAATCAAATCCTCTCTGCAATATTCCAACATCAACCTTAAAGGCATTCCCAGAAGAGTAGCGGCTGTTACTGCAGCAAAGGGGGAACAAACGTCCTATTAATACTCTTGATTTTAGAAGAAGCCTTAGATGAGCAGATGTCTGCAGCATGTGAACATAGTGGTCTGGTAAACACAGTGAATCAGGAAATCTTGAATACTCCGTTAATTGGTTAATTATTCAAGTAGTTTTCCAAAAACAACTTCACTCATAATAATATTGTGCTAATCTAACGAAATCATCTTCAAATCTAACCTGTCTCACGCTGCACCATCCACTGATGCTGACTGGCTAATCCACCGCTACTGTGACAGCTGTGATAATCTGCCCCATAAACCAATCAATGCGCTGATTTTGGGAGTCTCTGAGCTTTTCCAGCAGAAAGAACCCTGAGTTCCAGACAGTTGTGCTGCGGTATTTGGCATTTCACTCTGGACCTTTTTTGGTAACAAGCTTAGACAGTGCAGTCAGAATTTAATCATTGTTTAGTGCATTTGAATGTTTAAACATCTCTAAATGTCAACGCTAAATGTCGACGCGTCCATGCCTGGACATATTTCAGAACTTTCTGGAGCTTTTAACGAAGACAGGTTGAGACAGAGAGAGAGGGAGGGAAAGAGACAGGAGAGAAACAGAGAGTGAGAGAGGAGGCTGTTTGTTTGTCATTCTGTTCTTCTTTCTTCCTGTTTTACTTTCTTTCCTTGTTTCTTGTTTCACACACACAGAGGTGGGGGAGAGAGGGGGAGAGAGAGAGAGAGGAGAGAGATGAGCAAGAAAAGAGAGGGAAGGGGGAGAGAGGAGAGAAAGACACAGAGAGAGAGAGAGAGGGATGGAGAGAGAGAGGGAGAGAGAGAAGGAGAAAGAAAGGCCTAGTCCCATTTTAAGCCCTCGCCTGTACCACTTAGCCCTTACCCCTCCGTTTTGTGTGTTCACGTCTAGGGGTGGGGTGTCCCGACTTTTGTTGAGATAGAGGGGTAGGGTGAAGTGTTAGGGGAATAGAGTGTTATGAGAAAAAAAGAAAAACAGGCAAGATGGCTGCAACCAAAGAAACACACAAATGTGAGAATTTTCTCTGTTAAAAAATATGATAACCATCGTATTATCTTAGTTTAATGTCATTTCAATTCCTATTTTTCATTACAAGAATAAAAAATGGCTAGTAGTATGCTGATGTCTAGGTAGCTAGCTAGCTAAGTTTTCCATTCCACCTTAAATGGACCATTAACCATTTAAGGTGGAATGGGAAAAATCAAACAAGAAGCTGGCGAATAGCTGACTTTAGCTTCATATCACTGAAGAATTAGGGATGGGTGATAATATATAATTGTCCCCCCTCTTTGAAGGCATATGATGCCCTAAATGTAACTAAAGCCCAGCAGTGAGGAGCTGAACTTTACCCTGCTCTGCCATCACTGCAGACTGGCAGGATCGCCTACAGAGCAGCGCTAGTAGCCTGTTAGTGAAGTAATGTTCTTCTTTATTTGAGGGTCCCATTTCAACCACTACCCCTTGTAACTCAGTTCCAAGGTGAAACTCAAAAACAAGGATAGGGGTAAAAAATAAGAAATGGGATTGGGCCAAAGCGATAGAGAGAGAGAGAGCAGGTTGTCTTTCTTTCTTACTTTTCCTTAAATCTCCAAATACACACAGAGATGTGAACAGCATGAATGAAGAACTCTCTCTCTCTCTCACACACACACACAGACAGACACATACTATATGTGTAATTCAGTTGGGAGCCTGATCAAAGCAGCTCTCTCTAAACAGCACCAGACTACCGCTAAATGTCATTGAGGGAAATGACTGTATCACCAGTCTGCCGTAAGCACACGTCTCAATCCAAAATCCAGTGTCCTTAATAGGGTGCATAAACTTATACGACACCCTATGGATATGCCGGAACTGGAATTAAACTGTTGCTGTCACATATCCTTGCTAAACATGATAAACAGACCATAACAATCAAGACATAAACACAGCCACTATTACTTAAAAGTTTGTCCCCCAAGCTCAGATGTAGTCAATCAGGCAAGACATGTTTAGAATATCGTCACAAAGAAAATCAGGTATCTCAACTTAAAATTTTGCTGATTTAAATTATTTTACATCATTTTAACACCCTAGCTGTCCTTTACATTGTGTGGAAATCTCATGATGTATGGACCAATAGAAATGCTCAAAAATCACTTGGGATAAAATCTATTCACACTGACTTACATTGAAAGTTAAGTGGGTTTTTGTCTTCTCCTGTAAAGTTAGTATTTTGGAGATACTTGTTTTTCTTAGGACAGCAACGATAAGAAGAAATTAGAATTGCCAATTAGAAATTCCATTGTATGACACTGTTATGAAACATACAAAATTCTGTGTTCAAGCTGGCTGCTCCTACTGTTTTATCTATGCAACACATTTTTGACCTATTTTATAGATAACAGTATGTTATACAGTGTCAGAAACCACAGAAACAATTTACTTGAGATTACTAAACAACTGGACATGGTCTGAGGCAACTGTGTGATGATTTAGACATGCAGTCTGCTAATTTATTATTATATAGTGATGACAGAAACTAGATGTCTAAAATGTTTAATGCCTCTAAAAGCTACACAAAAAGCTATTACATTTAACGGTTAGGAATATGCTGCCTGATGCCTGAGACATTTTCATGATAGTTCTGACACAAGCTTTTGAGCTAAAATGTATTTTTAAACGCATTAATGGTGGAGAGGTACATGTAGAGTGTTGTAGGGCAAAAGAATACCCAAAGAAAACATTTTTTTTTTTACTTTGAATTTTATCGAGTGCATGTTTACATACATGTTTAGGTTTCAATCCAATCATAATCAGACTTCTGCAGTTATCTGATTATTCAAAAGGTCATGTAAACAGCATATTCCACTGTAAAAATTCGATTATGAAATCCGATAAAGAAAGCTGGATGTTAGCTCAGTAATCAGATTTCTGATGTTAGCGCATGTAAACTCTTACTCTGATTTCTTTCGGATTTCTCAGTCTGCACATGTGAGAAAACAGACAGCGGTACCAGAAATAAGCAAGCAGCGTTGCCGTGAGAAGCAGCAAAGCACTTTTGGAGAGACACTGAAACCAACTACATGTTTGACAAAATGAAGGATTTAAATATTCTTTATTTTCTAGACGATGTATGTTCATATTTTCAGGTAAAGTGGTGCAATTATTTTTTTAAACTGCGGCATGAAGTTTGATTTTTATGTTTATGTCACGTCTTATTCTGTGAGTTCATTTGCCGGTTGCAAAGCAGAAATCTGATAACTGCCTGACTCTTGTAGACCCCGAGTTTCCCCATTATCTGATTACTTTGATCTGATTACTGACAAAATCTGATTTTCTGCACTTATCATAATTAAGTGCATGTAAACGCACTCATTGTGAACATCACATATAAAAACCTGGAAGACACATGTAGGTTCACTGAAGGTTTTGGAGGGTAAAAAAATGGCTATATTTGTGTTGTAGACACTGTGACCCCTGGTTTCTATTGTCACCATTGTAATGAAATACAGGTTTGTAAATTTCTATACAATTAACCATTTCACATCAAACCACTCTGAATGGCTTTCTTTAACAAAAAAAAGGATTGAATTATGCAGAAATTTGGAAAAGTTGTTGGTTTAAGTCCAATGTAAACCACAAAGGCCCAGTGTAGCTGCAGCTTTTTATTGTAATAGACTGGCTAACCACATCACACAACCGCCTCAAACCACGGCTGGTTGTTAAGTTGTTAAATTCTCCATTTCATTCTTTTTGCAAAGATACAGTGAAAAGAGAAAGAGCCACTTTTGATTTTGGCCACTAATCATGAACTAGGATTAAAATCCATGAGCATGCAGCAGAAGGGCAGTCATGTTGGACTTAGCTTCCAATGGTCAGTTTCCACACACCCTGCAGATAAACAGTGGGCTCACTGGCCACTCACCATCAAAGCTCTTGTACTGGCTGTTCAGCGAGGTCTGCAAGGTGCGTCCAGATTCTTTCACCTGGACCTCAAACTCCCTCTTGCTGAGACTGGACAGATCATCCTCCATTTGGCTTGTACAACAGGTGTAGTCCTGTGGACACACTCGCAAGTGCTCACCTACAGAGAGAGAGAAGAAAACACTTCATCACCCTCCTGTACTAAGAATGTTTCAGATTTAATGAAGACAGTATAGTCTTACATTAACTACAGTGTAAAATTAGACCTGAAAATGAAACTAATAAACAAAAATATGCTCAGTGAAGTTCTGCTGTGAAGGCCCCTGCTGTCTCCCATCTTACTCAGTAGCTATAAACTAGGGCCTGAGCAACATACGGCATCATTCACACAGCTTTATCAGTGTCTGAGGATTCAATGATTTTTAAGCTCATATGCTAGTCTGTACAGAAACTACTAAACATCTGCTCATTTCTCCTACTTTAATATGGGTTGAACTAGTGTTTGAACAATAAAGACCATCTTTGTTTGACCAACTAATTTTGCCCTTTGTAAAATTGTGCATTAAAGTGTGTTCTTCACTTAATTTCAAAATCAATAAAACATGTCACTTGACCAGGGGCACTGAAACCTTTTCATACACTGTATATGTGCAGTGTAAAAATGTAGGTGCTAAATTTACTGAACTGTGACATTTTTGAACATTTAACTATATGTATTTATATAATAATCACTGCTGTTGGAACAAAAAAAACAAAAAACCAAAAAAAACCCAAAAAAACAAAAAACAAAAAACAACAAAATATATATATATTATATATATATATATATATATATATATACACACACACACATTTATATATATCTATATCTATCTATCTATCTAACTATATTATATATATATACACACACACACACACACACACATATTAACATAAACATTGCTGAATCAGTCAGAATCTTCGTGAAAACTGCGTAACTGAGTTTTACGGAGACATCTCCTCTGAACGTTTGGTGAATGAAGCCCATTGTTTGTTTCAAAACATACTGTTTATGGTCCAAATAGGACAACTAAGCTAATAAAAACAGCCTGTTTTAAATTAACTGTTTTTGTCATAATATGTTTATTTACATATATCCATCTATTCAACCTACAGCAGTTTAGCTCTGCCCATTAATACTAAGTTATAAGGAGTGTTTCAACCTGGACTGCTTTTTGTATGAGGCATGATACAGGGCAGCCAATCAAAACAGAGCTCATTTACTTATCAGTCTTAAATGCAGAGTAAGAAAAGCAACCTGTTTAATCCTAAGGGATAAAGAGATGCTGGAAAATGGACATTAAAAAATGAACTCTGACTGTGTATGGTACATAAAAGCACACAAATATCGTAAAAAGGACCTCAGAGGGAAAACGGATGGATGGATGGATGGATGGATGGATGGATGGATAGATAAATACTTTATTGATCCCAAAGGAAATTTAGCAGCCTGTAGCAGTCACACAACACAGGACAGTAATAGTAATAAGGGTGTAAACGATATAACAGGAAGAACAAATATAAAAAATCTACAGGCATCTATACAAATAGAAAAATACGACAATCTGGAATAATAATAGAAAATATGACAATCTGGAATAATAAAATAAAACTAAAACATAAGAAAAATGTAGGATGTGATCTGTTTAACATCTCCCAGAATTCATACATCAAGAGTCGTGTTAATCTTTTAAAGCTAGTTAACTTGCTTCTTTTTTGCTGATTTATACAAATTTATACATAAGAAGTTCAGATTGAGGCAATAAATTCCATCATGTCCACAGTACTCTGCACACTCATAAAGCACTGCAAGGAGAATGAAAGTTTCATATTTGCATGTTTTAGATCTCTCCCGCTCTCTCTCTCCTTCAGAGCCTTTAAAACAGATATGAAACTTTACAGTGAGCTTGATGAATGTTTCAATTCAGCGATCTGAAGTCCAGACGTGCTGTGAAGATCAGCCTAATAAACCTCAGCTACAGTTACATAAGATCCAGTATTTAACAAGAGCTAAGTGGGTATGAATACTGATGAAGAGGAGTGTGTTAGTTAAATATCCACCCTGCACGTCCACTCACTGCCCAGCTGATGAGCTCCACCTACCTTATAGGTCCACTATACAGGTGTACATACACTCATTATTAGTCTCGGGGAACATAATGTAAAAATTTAAAAGTGTTTGTATGATAGTAAAAATGAGTGTCCAGCAAGGTTTGCATTAAGAAAGTAACATAATAGAACAGCTTAAAATTGCTTATCACACCTGAGAACTGTGTGGGTGTGGCCTAATATTCTGATGAGTGTGTGTGACATCCTTCAGTTCAGCACTCCAAGCCTGCTACACCTTTGAAGTAGAACTAAACATAAGAGTGCCAGCTCTTAAAACAGGCTGGTGGTGTAGTAGACCCTGCTGTGTCCACTCACTAAAAACACTACCCAGCTTTTATATAGTGACGCTTTTAAGAAGGTGAAGTTCTTATTCACTTTACTGTGGGATGTGTGTCCAGGGAACACTGGCATGGAATTGGCTTCTTAAAGCTTTTTAAAACCTTTTAAGGACCTCAGTATAAGACATAAGACAACATTCCAACCGCATAACAATGCACACACTCAGATATAGCATGTATTAAACATATATTCTATTCAAACCTACTGTTTGGAAAAAACATGCATATATGCTTTGAGACCGCACAATCCTTACACAGTGTGTTTGGCTTTGTTATCAGGGGCTGGTTGCACTAGACGCACGTTAAGTTGAAACATAGGCTAAACAATTGTGTGCTTGAGTGCTTACTAAGTTCAGGTTTACACATTACTAAATCAAAGCAGGTTGCACCACACCAGCTAGTTATTTACGCTGAGCTTAGCATCTATTAAATATTTACACCTCCTCCTAAGCAGGTGTAAGTGTTGGAGAAACCAACAGAAACCACATAGAAAGCCCAAAACAGACCAAAAGCATGACTAAGCTAAAAATGTTAAATGCTTTGCTGTGATTTTACTAACAGCTCTAATCACTGCCCTGCTTTTAACTCCAAGCATGAAGCTAATGTCCCAAGTTCCAGCTCAGTGAGACTTAAAAGTGATGCTGCTGTCATGTCAGTTAACCAGAAACTGTTGTTTAAAAAGCTGCATATTGAGTTGTCGCAAGGAAATAGTAAAGAAACAGATATATTTCTTTACTAAATATTTGTATGTAGCCACTGTATGTAGACAATTTGTACACATCATTTTCTTCTATACTAGATACGGTCAGCACACACTGGTGTCATCTTTCCATGATAGTACGTTTTATAGTTATACTTGCATTTCTAGATGTTACTAGTTAAGATATGATAAGGATTTGGTGCAACCAATTTAGTAAAATGATGGTTTGAAACTAATTAGTGTTAACTAAAGCCTTAGTAAAGACTTCACGCACGAAGTAAATGTATGCAAACCTGGTGCAACTCAGTTCTGCTGTCTTCTAGAGTCAGTTTTGACTACAGGAGCGGTGCTGGCTGGATAATTTTATAGTGTGTTCAGCAACAGCTTTCGATCAAATCTGATTGACTAATCTGATGATTTGGCCTCCAGTAACTTAATTTTGCAGGGAAATCACTTCATTTTTCACTTCATAGTGACACACACTCTGAACTGTTAGTTTCTGTTTTATTTGTTTATTATGATTATACTTTGATTTCTAATTGCGCTAACATTGCCACAGTACCTGCTTCTTTCTCTCACTCTTAAATATGCTGCCACTGCTAACCTCAGTCTTAAACCAGAAATGGTGAACGCAGCTGGTAAAGCACGTTTTTGTTTACAACCAGTCACGACTCCAGGGTTAAGACATTGCAAGAGTATGTTTAGTTCAAGGTTTTGGTGGGACATCTGAATCAGAGTGCTGGAACGATGACTTACTATTTAATGTTTAATGAACACCAAATTTTCAGCTGTGAACCATTTTAAATTAGATGAAATCAAAGGCCTTTACATGCCTCTCCAGATCTAAACATGATTGAATCTTTATGGGATATTTTAGAGAACAAAGCAGATTTCTGTCTCCTTCATACTTAAGAATAGTCCGATATCCCATTACACAGAGTTCCTGAAGGCACTGCTGCTCAAACAGTTGAAGAGTTTAAGCTGCTCTGAAGGCAAAGAATGGCCATGCTCCTTGTTAAGTGCTTATTAGGGTAAATGCATTGTTAGCTGTTTCCATTATTATGTCTACATACACTATATAGACAAAAGTTTTGGGACACAACTCCTTATTATTGAGTTCAGGTGTTTCAGCCATACTCACTGCTAACAGGTGGATAAAACTAAGTACATAGCCTTGCAGTAAACACTGGCAGTAAAATTAGGGGATGGGGAGTGCTGAAAAGTGGAGACCACTGGACTCCGGAGCAGTGGAAACATTCTGTGGAGTGATGAATCAAACATCTCTATCTGGCAGTCTGATGGATGAGTCTGGGTTTGGTGGATGCCAGGAGAACGTTACCTGTCTGACTGCATTATGCCAACTGTAAAGTTTGGTAGAGGGGGATGATGCTATGGGGGAGTTTTTCATGGTTTTGTCTAGGCCCCTTACTTCCAGTGAAGGGAAAGGTTAATGCTTCAGCAGACCAAGACATTTTGGAAATTGTATGCTTATAACTTTGTGGGAACAGTTTGGGCAAGAACCTTTCTGTTCCAGCATAACTGAGCCCCAGTGCACAAAGCAAGGTCCATAAAGGCCTGGCCGGGTGAGTTTGGTGTGAAAGAACCTGACTGGCCCTCAGAGAGCTCTGACCTCAACCCCATTGAAAACCTTTGGGATGAACTAGAACAGAGATTGTGAGCCAGGCCCTCTCGTCCAACATCAGTGTCTGACCTCACAAATGCTCTTCTGGATCAATGGACAAAAACTCCCACAGACACTCCAAAATCTTGTAAAAAGCCTTCCCAGAAGAGTGGAAGCAGTTATACCCACAAAGGGGGACCAACTTCATATTGACGCCTATGGATTTAAAATGGGATGTCATAAAAGCTCCTGTAGGTGTAATGTGTAGGTGTCCCAATACTTTTGTCCATATGTGTATTTGCCATACACTTAATCAGGGTAAAAAAGGCTTGAATGCTTTAATAGTGTACTGC